GAGTCAGAACAGAGTAATAGCAACACAAAGACACAAGACACAAGTGCAAAGAGCATGTGCGGACCACAGGCTTATATGTCATCAGCCACACCCCTCTGGGGGATGGACCTCAGAGACCTGAAGGCATAAAGGATTCCCACCATGCTCAGCAGAAATCCAAGATGGACGCCAGCACATGGAGTAACATAACCTCAGGGAAAAGGTAGGACCTTGACACTGCCCCTTGAATGCCTAACTGCCACTTGGGATTGTACATGTGCCGTGCCGATGTCACGTTCGGCAAGCAGTACCACCACCAACCTCAACCTATGCAAGCGAATGGGGCCACAATGTAACTGCCTTGCAATCACATGTATTCCAAGTGCTTGCGGTACTCTGATACAAGCATTTTAGGCAGTAAGGAGGCAACCACCTTCTGAACAGTGACTCACCACAGCTTGCTTTTGGAGGGGTGGCAAGGGCTGCTGAATGAGCCCTAAATGTATAACTAATTTTTTTATTTTGTAGTTTTGGATAGTGTTGAAGGATCACAACCCCTATCTGCCTTTTATTGCAGTTTATGTTTCCACTGGAGATATTCCCCCCTGTTTGTCCCAGGGTCAAAGTTTTTTATTTTATTTAGGTAATGCTGCATAGCATTCAACCTCTTTGGGTCTCATCCTCCTGAGGAAGCAGGGAACAGGCACTTCGAAATGCGTAGAGGGACATGATGTCATTATAATAAAGGATAATACCTGCTAAGTGATAATTTATTGCCCCACATGGGAGACTTGTGTTTGTCAGTTGTAGACATTGCTGATGTAAACTTATCCAAGAGGGTCTGATTACAGTATGTGGAAAAATTCTGTGTATCTTTTTGTCTGAATTATGGCATAATATGTAGTGGTCCAATGTTAATATTTTGTAAAAATACATTTATATAGGTGTGTATACTTTCCCTTATTTTACTTTGTTGTATCCTGTGGCTTTCTTGTGGCACCTCAAAAGTCTGTTTTATGCTTTGAAAAAAAAAGAAAAAGGATTTTTACCAGGATGTGGTGCCCCCATAATGTGCCCAAAGTCTCCCAATGTTAAATGGTTAAATCCAGGGCAAAAGTCAGCCTGAAAATGAGGGAAAGTCTAGCTTTTGAGTTGTCACTTCAACAGGAAAGGTTGGAAACCTTGTTGCAGAGACAACTGTCCAAGATGGTTGTCTAAGAGAAAATTAAGGGAATTATCCCTAAATCAACTAAGATGAGAAGAAAATGAAAAGGTTTATTCATTTACTAGTCAATTTAAAGTTCCAAAGCAAGAAATTAAAGTTTTGGCTTTTAATAAATTTCAATCCTAATACTGTATAACAGAACCTTCTATCAGGGGAAAGAGGAAGAGACCAGATCTCTAGCTGAAGAAAATATATGTTCCCAGCACACCATAGATGCACATCATCCGATCCAGATATTTATTAAAGAAATCATATTACAATTAGTGCTAGTGAAACATTTCGGGGGGCACGCAAGATGCGTTTGTCATGTGATGCTTTTCCTTGGGCACTCTATGCCCTGCCCTTTCCTGCCTTCCTGAATTTCCCATCAGCCTCTTTAGCCATTACAAAGGCAAGGGGAAGGGCTTCATGATGACCAAGAAGAGACCAGGTTGTGTGTTTTTTATTAATGTATCCAGTTTTGGGTGGAAGTTGTACCTTCATATCACACACGCAGCAATCATCTGTGGCTGAAACTGGACTTCAAATGTACTAGCTATGAGAACATTAAACAGAATGATTGCTATTATACCATTACTAGACTCTTCTTCTGTGCACCCCACTTTTCTTGGTTTCGCTTTGTTACCAAGGAATACATTTATGTGACCTATAGTCTAAGCCAACTTTTCTTAACCTTTTTACCTCAGAAGAACTCTTGAAATAATTTTCAGATCTCAGGGAATCCCAGGTAAAACTAGTCCATCGGGGATCATTAGGAAAATCCCACTTATATTGGTGGTGGTAAGTGGGAAGAATGACACCCATGCAATCATGCTGATGGCTCTGCCATGTGGCGCTGGACCTGAAGCTATGCAGGCACTATCAGATGGGAGGTCAGTTAGCCACAGCTCAAGGAACACCTAGCCAACCCTGGAGAAACCAGGCTCCATGGAACCCTAATTGAAAATGCTTGGTCTAAGCCCTGATCCCTCTCCAGAAAAAAGTTCCACCTACCCAATGTTCCCCTATGCAGTTAAATAGTTTACATTGGCAATGGGTCAGCTCTCAATAGACAGATGACCTGAGGGTGTCCGGCAGGGCTTTGTTTCAGGGGATACAAAGCATTCTCTGATTAGATGAGGTGGGGAGGCCAAGTGGTGACACTATGATTACTATATCTTCCAATAAGAGAATGCTTTGCATTCATTCACAGAATCCAGAGCATTCCCTGAATGGTACCCGTGCTGAGTGGCAGACCACCTGTGTTCAGAATGGAGCAGGCCAGCCACTGGACCTGGAAGCAATGGAGATCAATGGAGTTGCGCTGTCTACTTCAGTGATTTCCAGTTTCCAGTGGCACTGGCCAGGCATGGTATATACATAGATACATTGATCCAAGCTGGACCAATGTAACTATGTATAAAATACCTATACCTGGAATTCTTCTTAATGTTTAATATTTGTTCTGAACTTTGCACAGAGGGATTTTCATTTTTGGCTGACGTTCTACTTTAAAGTGCTTTTACAGAATATAAAGTATACTTGTATAAAGATGTAAAAACTATTTCGTTAAAATCCATAGCAACAACCGTTTATCCAGATCAATCCTCTGTGGAACAATTCAGACTATACAGTCATTGTTGGTGTCTTCAGCTATATGCTGCCTAGATACTTACTTAATCTTCTTACTTACTTTACATTCGGTATTGATTCCTCTGGTGAATAATGTTTATATAGATGTGTTGAGAAGGAGATGGTGGAGTGAGGCAGCTAGCACTTTATCAGAAGCTTGTGACAGACCGATTAATTCTAGACTAGGTTTTCTTTAAACTGTAAACTGATGATGTTTAATTAAAAAACTATTTTGTCTATGTCAACTGTAAGCTCATCCCTAAGCAAGAGGAAATGGGGCCAAATACAGCTTCAAGAACTTACAACGCTGCAGCTCTTTAGTGTAATATTTTTTGAAAAAATATAATAATTTAGGTAGGATAAGACCCCTCCAAATAATGGTCTCTAAAGTTGGGGGGGCTCTGAAACTCAGGTGCACAGACCTTTCCAGCAGAGTGAACTATTAGGATGCCAGCGAGTAATTCAAGTGACATGCTGCAATTTACAACATCAGAGTAGAGAAGACTGAGGAAATTCCTCCTCCTGACTGCAGCAGACTGATTACATCATCTCAGCCTAAGCCAGTGATCTGTAAACTGTAGCCAGATGCAGCCCTTTGCTTGCCTTTATCTGGCCCTTGAGGCATTATTCCTGCCCTTGACACCAACAAAAGGGCATAATTCATGCCACTGACACCAGAAATGGGACACTAGTTATTCCACTGACATCAATGAAGGGACACTATTCCTCCCAATGGTACCAATTATTTTGCCCCCTAGTACCAAAGATGGGGCATTGCTTACTCCCACTGGGCACAGTGTGGCCTCCTTAAAGTTTGAAGGACACTAAACTGGCCCTTTGTTTGTAAAATTTGGGGGGAAGCAAAAAGGCGAGTGCCAATGATGTTTAATATGTCCAGTTGAATGTTATTTGTCAAAGAGTCACAGAGAGTCACACATGTTTTGGGGGCTTACCAGCACTTCATCAGGGCTTATAGTGGCAGAACAAAAACTACCAGATGGGAATGAAATAGTTCATTAAAAAAAATCTATGTGGAGGGCCTGTTCAGGGTACTGGTGCGGACTGGTGAGTCACCAAAACACATTGGATACTCCTGTGACTCTTTGGCAAACGAATATCAGTTGGACATATTAAATAAACATTGTTGGCACTCTTAAATTTTTCGGTTATCTTTTGGCTACTACAATGACCTTTACTGGTTTCACCAACGTTCAGGAAAGTTACTTTTATACAAGTGCCCAACGCTCTATCAACACTTTAGGGATCTCCGTCTTAGCAAAGTCACTGAACTGGAGCTTAAGGACGGCTTTTTCATGATAAAAGGTAGAGTATTTTTGACAAATGATATTGTTATATTGTGACATGTCAGGAATTTATCTATGCATACTTTTAGAGATACCCAGTTATTTTATTTTTTTAAATCCGCTTTTACCTAATGCTGGGTTGTCCTGAATTCACATACTCACCAACCCAGTGAACCTAGTCCTACTGTGATCTGCCTTCTACTGCCGCACTGTCTCTGGCCACCAATATGATCACTGCAAGCGCTAAAAAAAAGGCCAAGGAACCAAGGTAAGTTAATGATAAAAATGATTCATAGCAGAATCTATTTTATCATTAAAATACCATGGACTCATGGGCACTCTAATTGTATTGTATGTGTGTGGGTTCTCCACTATGGGTCCTTTCCCTTTTTCCTGAGAGTGGTCCTTGGTTACTGGAGTGCTGCCAAACCAAAGCCCACATTTCCAATTTGGTAACGCTTAGAAAATTCAAATTCAGTGCTCGGTTTGTTTGGGTTTTTGATCTCGATCTTGTCATTGGGAGCCCACTGTCTCTTCCAAGCCCAGATAACGCACCACCAGGACCGCTCTCCTCCTCCATCCGATATATACAAGTCAAAGCCTCCTTTGATATCTCATGTGCATATCCTAAGAGGCATCAGGAGTGGAACACATAATTCGTCCCTAGGCGAGAATGGAGGACGAGGATGGGATGGAACACGAATAATTAAGAGAAAAGGTGAACAAACCAAAAAAACGGGAGAAGGAATTTCATGTTGCAGAAGGAAAAGGGTTTTAGGGGAGCAAAGTTAGCTTTCAGTGCAAAGCTTTACGGAAAATGGGCCGAAGATAATTCCTTTTGTTTCACACCTTCCATTTCTTTTAATAAAATTTATACTTACTTTCTTCAAGTGATCCTCCATCTTCCTCTTGGCATCCTCCACTTCCTCACAGCGCTTGGCAAAGGCGCTGTTGACATTATCGCACTGAGATCGCAGGTCTTCAGAAATGTCTTGGAGGATATTGTCAATAAGAGAGCGAAGATTGATTGAACCCATTCTCTCCCTTTCTGCACGGTATATGTTGTCGTGGCTGTACTGGGCCCAGGATTCGGGAGTGGAAGTACTTTAAAAGAAAAATATATTACATGATGTCTCAGCAAGAGTAAAAAATTTGAAAAATGTATAAATAACGATAACGCATATAGCCACTGTTATGAAATACAAGAACATCACAGTGCAAACCCAACTATGGGGTTGAGTTACTAAAATCGGAGTGTACAAAATCTGCAGCTCTGCACAGAAACTAATCAGCTTTTAAGTTTTATTGTCAAAGCTTAATGCGGAGTTCCACCCAAAAGGGGAATTTCCACTTTAAAGATTGGTCCCCGCTCCCCATTAAGGATTGGCACCTTTGGGGAGCGGGGGGTGGGAAGCGGGTACCCAAATTTGACAGGTATCTGCTCCCACTTCCGCTGCGATTGGAAACAGAAGTTGTCCTCCTACCCTCCCTCCCCGAATCTTGTGGGAAACGGGCCCCAGAAGACAAGTGTATGATCCAACACACACTTCCTGCGATAAAAATGACTGTGTGTATAAGTGGGTGCTGCAGTGACTGTCGGCTGGAACCGAACAAAATCAGCAAGGAAAAAATGTCACCAGCACACCGAGGATCACCAATATGGGTCCAAAGGTTTTAATCCCATTACATAGTTACAGCAAGGCAACGTTTCGGAGTCTCGCAGGACCCCTCATCAGGCATGTGACCAAGGGTCCCAGAAGACGACGGGGCCATTCAGGAAACGCAGCGCTACTTGCGCATGTGCAGTGGGCAAGCTGTCACAGCCGGGTGCCCACACTGAAGATGCCGGACACCTGGAATACAGACGGCCGGTAAAACGGGCTGCGGGGGGGGGGGGGGTCAACGTGGGATCATGGGACAGGTAAGTGGATGTTTTTTTAAAAGTCAGCAGCTGCAGTTTTTGTAGCTGATGACTTTTATTTTTACAGAGTGAGTGGAACTCCGCTTTAATTGAGCAAGCTGAATTGAGAAGCTGATTGGCTACCATGCATAACTGCACCAGATTGTGCACACTCTAGTTTTAGTAGATCGGCCCTAATGTGCCTTAAAACCATGGCAAAACCAATGCCCAGTCCCTAATCCAGGAAACCCAGGTCCTGAAGTTACACTCTGCAGAGATCAGTGAGGAGAGTTCTGAGAGCTGATTGAAAGGAAGGGACACTCTCCCCCCCCCCCCCCCCACACACAGCACACAGGAACAGAACTAAGGCTTCAATCACAGGCTGTGTGCTGGAGCTCCCTCCCATCACCTTTTTACCACTTGGTGTCAGGAAAGCTTGTCAGACACCTCATGCAGATAGCAGAGGAAGGAGGCAGCACACAGAAATTACACTTAGTGCTCTGGACTGAGACAAGTACACACTATAGAGGGATATGCTTTGATCATATGTCATGTCAGACGTTTACAACCACTTTAATGCAAAAAGTGCAGGTTCCTTGAACGTGACTTGGTATTGGCCCCCTGCATTCTCTGTACAGCATAGCTCAGAGTAGGACAGGGAGAAGCAGCACAAGGAACCAGTTAGTTTATGCACTGAACCAGTGGCAGAAAAGAAGTACTGAAGGTACTAAAAGTAAGCATTGCAGCAAGGCTATTTTTAAATTTTTTATCACAAAGCACTACGCAAACTGTTGGCGCTATACAAATCCTGTATTCTAATAAAAATAATTATTTTATCTTTAATGGGCTTTTTTGGTTAGAATTCTGCTTTAAAATGTATTTAGAAACACAGAAGAGTGACAGGAGAAAAGCCACCAAGTGGTTAATCAAGTCTGCCCCACTTTTGTGTTATTTTGTTTATATTTTGTTTATATATCTTTTTATTCTTGAGTACAGATCTACGTTTGTCCCAAACATGTTTGGATCCACTTACTGTTGGCTGACTGACTCTGCTGGAAGTCTATTCCAAGCATCTGTTACTCTTTCAGTAAAGTAATACTTCATAGGATTAATTTTTTGAACTTTCCTCCTACTAGTTTGAGGTCATGTCCCGTGTTCTTGATCTTGGTTTCATATTGAAAATCCTGCCCTCCTGAACAGGGTCGGGTGGCCATTTATTCACCCCCTTGGTGTATTTAAAGGTTTCACTCATGTCTCCCCTTTCGTTTCTTTCCTCCAGACCAGCCATTCTCAACCAGAGTTCCGTGGAGCCCTAGGGTTCCTTCAGAGGTAGCAAGGTGTTCCTTGAGTTGTGGCTGGATGACCTTCTATTTGATGGTGCCTTTTTTTTTTTTTTTTTTACTCATAGTTCCAGGACCAAGGGCACTAGGCAAAAAAAAAAACGATGATCTTTTTAGCTGTGTTTAACAGTGGAATTCTGATCCCCACTATAAGGGTTGCATTCTTCCAACGTACCACCAATATAAGGAGCAATTTCCCCATTGACTCCCAATTAGTTGGTTTTAGTAAGGGTTCCCATAGACCTAAAAATATTTTTAGGGCTTTCTCTGGGGCAGAAAAGGTTGAGAAAGGTTGCTCCAAACTGCACATATTAAGTACTCAAAGTCCCTCCTGATACGTTTTATCTCTCAGACCGGTCACCATTTTTGTTGCCCAGCTCCAAGCTCGTTCTATCTTATCCACAACTTTTTTTGTAGACGGAATGCAGTAGTGTTGAAATCTAATTGGTTGGTGTGGATTACTAAAGGCTGGCTTTATTCATACACCTTGTTGCAGCTGCGACATGGTACGGCAAATTTTTTACAGCATGTCCTGTTTAGCAAGCAGTGCCACTTGACAAGGGCATGCATTGAATTCGATGGATAATACCACAACTTGCCAAAGCTTGTCTCACGGTTGAGGTATAGTATGTTAGTGTAAAATCCCCTTTGAGATAGAAAAAAGAACAGGCAATTAGGAGTCAGCAGAATTGCCTCCCGAATGCCTGGAAACTATGTCTAAGCCGCCTTTAAAAAAGCGATCAACCGCAGATCCCCTTTCAGAGGCGTGTTTAGAACCACCACAAATGGGAATAAAGCCTTTTGACATTGTTTAAAACAAGACCTGCCCCAGACATTCTATAACACTGGACACTGGTCAATAAAACACGCTAATCTCCATTGTAGTTTGAACAAGACCAGATCTTTGCTATCAGACAACCCTGATTATGTGCAACCAATGCTCAAGGTCCTAAAACGTTTTAAGCACCATGACCTGTGACTATACAAACTAGAGAAATAGATCCTAATAAATTATATTTGAGCTCTGATTGGCTCACGAGTGGAGGATACATGATGAAGCTCAAGAAAGTTTGGTTGCCATGGTAACTGTCATGTCTGCCCGGAGCTGTCAAGCCAAGGTGGTATCATTCCTATACTGGGAATCCATTTTCTAAATAAAAGTAAGTCTTAGCAAAAGTAAATTATATTTTATTTTATAACAAAAGACTTTTGTACTGTCCTTGAAAGTAACGTATGAGAATGTGATCTGCCGAAAGAGCAGATGTTACTAGGCATAGGAGTATGTAAGATCTGGAATAATCAATTTTGCAATAATATAACTGTGTGTGGTGATTTTATTTTTTGACTTACTTACTTTGTCTGAGTCTCACTCTTCAGTCTGGAAAATGTTGCCCTGCCATTCATTATAGGGGACATGTCACTGACCACTCATAAAGGGGGCCCTTCCCCACTGACCACCAATGTAAGGAGGCCCTCCTCAACTGATCACCAATGTAAAGGGGCTCTTCTTCACTAACCACCAATGTAGAGAGGTACTTTTCCAATGACCACAAATGTAAGGGGGCCCTCCTCCACTGACCATCAATGTATGGGGTCACTTCTTCCCTGACCACCAATGTAAGGGGGCCCTCCTCCACTGACCACCAATGTAAGGGACCCCTTCTTCCCTGACCACCAATGTAAGGGGGCCCTCCTCCACTGACCACCAATGTAAGGGACCCCTTCTCCACTGACCAGCAATGTAAGGGGGCCCTCCTCCACTGACCACTAATGTAAGGGACCCCTTCTCCACTGACCAGCAATGTAAGGGGGCCCTCCTCCACTGACCACCAATGTAAGAGACCCCTTCTCCACTGACCACCAATGTAAGGGGGCCCTTCTCCACTGACCACTATTGTAAGAAGGCTCTTCTCCACTCATAGCCAATAAAAGAGGAAATTCTCCTTTCACCACCAATGTAAGGGGCCCTTCTCAACTCACAACCAAGGTAAGGGGACCGTTCTCCACTGACTAGTAATGTAAGAGGACCCTTCTCCATTGATAACCAATATAAGAGGGTAATTCTCCTTTGAGCACCAATGTAAGAGGGCCCTTCTCCACTGACCACCAATGTAAAAAAAGGCCCTTTTCTACTGACTTCAAATGTAAGGGGGCCATTCTCCAGTGAGCACCAATCTAAGGGGGGCCTTCACCTCTGACTAACCATGTAAGGTTTTCCAATGAATACCAAAGTAAGGTGACACTTCTCCACTGACCCCCAATGTAAAGGGGCCTTTTCACTGATCACCAATGAAAAGAGGGCCCCACTCCACCGACCACCAATATAAGGGGCCGTTCATCACAGACCACTAATGTAAGTTGGCCCTTTTTCACTGACCACCAATGAAGAGAGGCCCTTCATCACTGACCACTAATGTAAGGGGGCCCTTGTCCACTAACCAACATAGCAAGCTACATTATTCAACGGCATAATGGAGCCTGTCTTGTTTGATATCGTTGTAAATGGGCCCTCCTCTACTGACCACCAATGTAAGGGGGCCCTTCTTCACTGGCCATCAGACCATAATCACAGTACATTCCTTCTAAGAATGATATATTTTGTACCAGTAGATAACCCCTAAAAACGAAAAAATAGATCAAAATGAATCACAGAAAACTCTTGCTAAAACCACGCTAAAATAGAAAAGTCTAAATGGGACCTCATTTTTTTTTCTTTTTCTTTTATCCACTTACAGTATACGGAACCAGCACAGATAGGCAATCCCTTGATAAGAGATTTAACTGCAAAACAAACTTTTTTGTTACAAAAAAAAAAAGCAATAATAAAAACATGCTTCCTTAAACTTGTTTCTGAAAACTGGTTATGCAAATCCCTGCATACTTTCTTTTAATTAAATTGGATTTGTATGAAAAAGAGATTACGTAGGCAGTCGAATGCAGCAAAGGAAAATATACTTCTAATTTGTCTACTTTTGTGACTTAGTCATGTGTGACAAGAGTATATCCAAATAGACTATCAACAAATAATTAGGAAGAACAGAGAAAAAAAAGCACCTGTGGGAATAATGATTTTCAGATGGGAAATGCAAAACAAAATTAGAAAACACAGGTATGAAAGAAGCTCATCTTTGGAAGGTTAGGAAGTTTTTTTTTGCTGATAAGAAATGAAAATCCTTAAAGGATCAGCCTATGCAAAAATGTATATCCCATGTTTGGGTAGAAAACACGTACGCTGAATTAGATATGGCTATTTGGAGCTATGGAACAGCTCAAATCAGTGCGACTTTGAAAAAGGTTCCTGCACTATTTTTTGCGATTTCATATGCAACTTGCATTTACATCTGTGCATGAAGCAAGCCGCACATAATGTCGCACAGATGTCGGCAAGCCTCACATGAAGTCATACAGATGTCGGCAAGCCTCACATGAAGTCGCACAGATGTTGGCAAGCCGCACATGAAGTCGCACAGATGTCAGCAAGCCTCACATGAAGTCACACAGATGTCGGCAAGCCTCACATGAAGTCGTACAGATGTCGGCAAGCCTCACATGAAGTCGCACAGTTGTCGGCAAGCCTCACATGAAGTCGCACAGATGTCGGCAAGCCTCACATGAAGTCGCACAGATGTCGGCAAGCCTCACATGAAGTCGTACAGATGTCGGCAAGCCTCACATGAAGTCGCGCAGATGTCGGCAAGCCCCACATGAAGTCGCGCAGATGTCGGCAAGCCGCACATGAAGTCGTACAGATGTCGCCAAGCCGCACATGAAGTCGTACAGATGTCGGCAAGCCGCACATGAAGTCGCACAGATGTCGGCAAGCCTCACATGAAGTCGTACAGATGTCGGCAAGCCGCACATGAAGTCGCACAGATGTCGGCAAGCCTCACATGAAGCCGCACAGATGTCGGCAAGCCTCACATGAAGTCGCACAGATGTCGGCAAGCCTCACATGAAGTCGCACAGATGTCGGCAAGCCTCACATGAAGCCGCACAGATGTCGCAAGCCTCACATGAAGTCGCACAGATGTCGGCAAGCCTCACATGAAGTCGCACAGATGTCGGCAAGCCTCGCATGAAGTCGCACAGATGTCGGCAAGCCTCACATGAAGTCGCACAGATGTTGGCAAGCCTCACATGAAGCCGCACAGATGTCGGCAAGCCTCACATGAAGCCGCACAGATGTCGGCAAGCCTCACATGAAGTCGCAGTCGGCAAGCCACAGATGTCGGCAAGCCTCACATGAAGCCGCACAGATGTCGGCAAGCCTCACATGAAGCCGCACAGATGTCGGCAAGCCTCACATGAAGTCGCACAGATGTCGGCAAGCCTCACATGAAGTCGCGCAGATGTCGGCAAGCCTCACATGAAGTCGCGCAGATGTCGGCAAGCCTCACATGAAGTCGCGCAGATGTCGGCAAGCCTCACATGAAGTTGCGCAGATGTCGGAAAGCCGCACATGAAGTCGTACAGATGTCGGCAAGCCGCACATGAAGTCGCACTGATACTGAAGTAGCATGATTTCAAAGCCGCATTTACCCCCGGTTAATATATATGCGGCCGTGCGGGCCACGTTTTGCGCGGGCACGAGAGCCCATTCATTTGAATGGACTCCCGTGCCCGTGACACGCAGGGAAGAAGTCTCTGCACTTCTTTGGAAAATGCAGCCTACACGGGAACCTCGGTTCCCAGTACGGTTGCGTTTTCCAGTGCGGGCGGCACGCCATTAGAATTAATGGCACCCACCCGCGGGTCCGCAATTCTCTGTGCAGGTGGTGCGGCTGCACGGATTTTCGTGTGGATCCGCAGAGGCACCACCCGCACAGATGTGAACCAAGGGTCAGTGTAAACCAGGGCTAATTCATTCCCGATTGGCAGTGGTGACCCAGGCTGTGAGTGACCGCGGGATTAAGAGTCACCACCCATACGAAGTGTGCTATATAAGCATTTAGCTGTATGCCTGAAGTTCTGCTTTTTGAGAGACCCCCAGGGGCGGACTGACCATTTGGAAACTCTGGCACTGCCGAGGGCCCGGGGTCAGTAGTGGGCCCCATGTGGTGCCCCTGGTACCTTTTTCATAGGCTTTTTTGAGTTTGGGCAAGGACACAGGGGCCCCATGATCCCCTATTGCCCGGGGGCCCCATGAGTTGTCAGTCTGCCCCTGGAGACCCCCATCAACAATTGCAGGCGCACAGAAAAATCAAGGTGTGTAAATGCTTACTTGCAGCGTTTCCTAAACAAATTTTTATTCACTTGCAATGTGCTTCTGAGCTTGTAAGAATATTTGACTACTACAGGAAGAGTCAATTTCCTAACACAGCCTCTTCCCTCCTTGCATGCCATAGCTCATGCCATAGTGTCTAATTACTCTGTGCTGGCCCAGCTCCTCCACCACTCACCTCCTTACATAACCTTTTATGTAGCTGCTGGGTCAGCACAGACAGCAATGACACAACTATGACATGCAAGGAGGAAGGAGTCTGTGCTAGGGGAACTGATGGAGAGCAATACTGGGTGCTGCGGACATCATATCCAAAATGGTGGCACCCAGCAAGCATCTCCGGACTTTGGATGTCTACACAAGGGGGACTTTACAAATAAATACCATGCATAAAATACTTTAAAATACAGATATAATCTCAGGCTTTGTTTATACTTATTTTTGCAAGCGTTTCCACGCGTTTTTGCATGTTCCTGGGCGTCGCATGTAGAGCAGCCTATTCATTTCAATGGGCTGTACTACGCATGAGAAATGTGGAAAAGAAGTCCCTGACCTCTTTGCAAAATTGTGCTGCACTGAAATGCATGATGTTGCGGACTGTGAAAAAAACGCACGTGTTAGCAGATTTGTCGGAGTGCCATTAGGAATTAATGGCACCGCCATGCAGCACTTTTCTGCACATGTCGGTAAACGCATGATTTTGCACGTTTCCAACCTGCACTAGTGTAAATCTAGCTTTCTGGGAAGAGTTCTGTTAAAATGAACGTTCTGGCATATGTGAAAAGAAAGATTTTATACAAAATGAACGGTCTGGTGACAGGGTCTCTTTATCAGAGCCTTTCTGTTCTGTATATCATCATTGTATTGAGTAGGGAGCCATCTACTGGGTGTTCACTACAACTGCACCTGTTATTATTCCTTTCAACAGGAATAGGGAGTGTCTTATTACTAAAGATTTCCATCTACCACTGCAGCCATTTTAGCTTCCTGAAGAACACCAATGAAGGTCTCCTCCATTCTACCTTTGATACACATATGCCAGTAAGTTCATTTGTTGTGTTTGTTAAAGTCATGTATATATTCAGATCGCATTTGAATATATTTGTTGTGATTTGTAGGTAGCTGTTTACAATAAATGTGTTCATTGTAGGCCTTTATGAGAGACATGTCTACAAGCATATTGTAACTTCAGTTTATGTAATTGTTTTGTAGTTTTACACAAATATTCACAGAAATAAATTCAATTTTGGAATAAAACACAACACTGCTTCTGTCAGCTAGCTTTCAGCTAACTATTAGTAAGACAGCACACTTTATCTTACCCCCCCCCCCCTTCCCTGCCCAATCACTGTGTTTACTTCCTAAATTAGTTAAAGCTTTATTGATGAATGTATAGTGAATTCTTGATGAATCTGACACTCAATCCTTAGTAAGAAGACCAGTGGAGCTCCTATTAATTACACCCCGGTGACTTTCAAATCACCCTTTCATCTATGCTGGCTTTTACAATGACACTTAAACTTTTATCCTGCGAGCGCTTTCTTTATGTTAATTAAAAAAGTGATTCATATTGTGCTGTAGAAGCTTACCGAAATTCATACAGTCAATTAACAAATTAAATTCAGCAATAAATGTGCAGTAAATACAATTTTCATTCCACGTTTAAAGAGAGGGAACTGTTCTGTCTATCAGCGGGGAGATGCTGGGAACGATCCTATATATCTACATTAAGGCTGATGGCATTCTGATCATATGGCTGAGTTATGAGTTAACAGCCTGTATGTGAGCCTGGATTCTAACTGCTGTTCTGCTTATCATTTAATAGAGGAGAACGCAACATTCCCTAAAGAAAGATACACCTGAATGCTTTATAAATACTAATGTGCCTTAAAGTGTGATAAAGAGACAATCATTAATAATGCATTAGCGAGATAGAATCGAGAAAGAGCGAGTCCGTTGCAGCTCATTAGACTGTCATTGCCATGGACTGAGAGTCCATCATTGTGAAATGCGTAGAATGAGATGATGAGATGCACGTGGTAAACGCAATCTAGCTGTTCAAGGGTTTTACATCTAGGTATACAGTGTAGCAAGCAACCTAACACCAAAATCTGTTGGCGTGCCAGTAACCTGATATCTTGAAAATAGGAAAAATCAGCAGCACAAATAGCTCTTCTTGTAGTTTTTTTTATTAATCAGTGCATAGACTGCATACAATAATGTCTCCAACCCAAAACCAACCTTTCTTGATGCGCTTCACCACTCCTGACTCACTCACAGGGATAGGGGATTCCCCTATCATCTAGCTTTCCTTCATGCGATTCACCACTCCTGTCTCGCTCACAAGGATTGGGGACTTCGCCTATCCTCCAGCCTTCCTTGACTTGTTTCACCACTCTTGGCTCGCTCATAAGGATAGAGGACTTTCCTATCATCTAGCTTTCCTTCATGCGTTTCAGCATTCCTGTCTCGCTCACAAGGATTGGGGACTTCCCCTATCCTCCAGCCTTCCTTGAGGCGTTTTACCACTCCTGGCTCGCTTACAAGAATAGGGGACTCCCCTATCATCTAGCTTTCCTTTATGCATTTTACCACTCCTGTCTTGCTCACAAGGATAGGGACTTCCCCTATCCTCCAGCCTGTCTTGTGGCATTTCACCACTCCTAGCTCGCTCACAAAGACTGGTGACTTCCCCTATCCTCCCAGCCTTCCTTGACTTGTTTCACCATTCCTGGCTCGCTCACAAGGACTGGGGACTTCCCCTATCCTCCAGCCTTCCTTGACTTGTTTCACCATTCCTGGCTCGCTCACAAGGACTGGGGACTTCCCCTATCCTCCAGCCTTCCTTGACTTGTTTCACCATTCCTGGCTCGCTCACAAGGACTGGGGACTTCCCCTATCCTCCAGCCTTCCTTGACTTGTTTCACCATTCCTGGCTCGCTCACAAGGACTGGGGACTTCCCCTATCCTCCAGCCTTCCTTGAGGCGTTTCCCCACTCCTGACTCACTCACAAGAATAGGGGACTCCCCTATCACCTAGCTTTCCTTCATGTATTTCACCATTCCTGTCTCGCACACAGGGATTGGAGACTTCCGCTATCCTCCAGCCTTCCTTGACACGTCTCACCGCTCCTATCTTGCTCACAAGGATAGGGGCAGTAAAATGAGTCAAGGAAGTCTGGATAGGAGAAGTCCCCTATCCTTGTAAGCAAACCAGGAGTGATGAAATGCAAAAAGGAAGGCTGGTGGATGGGGGAAATCCCCTATCCTTGTGAGCAAGCCAGGAGTGGTTGAAAGGCATCAAGGAAGGCTGGAGGATGGGGCAGTTTCCTATCCTTGTGTGCAAGCCAGGAGTGGTGAAAGGTGTCAAGGAGGGCTGGAGGATAGGGAAAGCCCCTAATCCTTGTAGGCAAGTCAGGAGCAGTGAAACATGTCAAGGAAGCCTAGAGGATAGGGAAAGTCCCCTATCCTTGTGGGCAAGCCAGAAGTGGTGAAATGTGTTAAGGAAGGCTGGGAGTGGGTTGGAGCCATTACTGATAATCATGCACTGATGATTAAAAATACCACAAGAAGAGCTAACTGGAGAGCGGCTGTTTTTTTCCTATTTTTTCAATGAAGAATGAAGACGGATTGTGATGACCGTCACCAAGGTTGTGAGGACAGTCTTGAGTGGAGCTATGGATTTGTGTTTAATTCTTACCTGAAATTTGGGCTATAAAAACGTGCATCGTTATTCATTCATCAAAACTGCATGTACACCTGTTCTGTGCAAATGGAAAGTTCTTTGGCTTTATTCTCTGCAATTCGAATGTGTGAATGCAGAACATAGTGCATTATGACCACTAGATGGCACTGGCTATCACAGGACATAAGAATGCTCCTCAACGCCACCTAGAGACCATCATGTAGTAATTTCTGCACTCTCACATTTGAATTGCAGAGAATACAGCCGAAGAACATTCAACCTTGCCCCATTTGTTCCAACAAATTTATATATAGTTTCAAGGAGGAAAAGCTATGCATTTTTTATCAATACACCCTTATGGTGCTCTGTTTAAATGTGTGACAGGCAATATCTGACCCAACCTACTAGTTTGCTAGTATAAAGGATCGAAAAAAAAATGCCTTCCCCCAGATGTCATCACTTCCCAGTACTCTGTGCTACCAATCAGCTGCCAGTGTTCTGCACTTGATCCCTTGTGCTAGCCCTACTGGGTCAAGCAGTTGTCACAAACATGGCTTAGCCAATGTGTATGGCATTCCCAGTGCTTCCAGGTACTTCCTAGGAGATCGAATGCCTCCTGCCATCTTTGCCAAGCTTCCTCCATGTGACACAATGACACATGCAATCCCAATTAGAGGCTGTGGCCAGTATTGAGATCCCTGGTAAGATAGATGATGGGACGGACTTTACACCACTTACAATGTTTTTCAATAGAATTAAAACCTACTGGGTGATTTCACAGACTGCCCCCACTTACAACCCTATCGAACCTTCAGATGAAATCAGCTAAACACATTCTAGGTACAAAACTAAAGGTGCGCAGAGTCACACAGCTCTTTTTCTTTAGAAAGCAGCCACAGCCAGAGTAGAGAAGCTGGTCACCTGCCAGCAAGCTACAGAGAAGAA